CTTCGGGACCGACCGTTCTGAAAAGTTGACCGTCAGGATTGATATATATATATATATATATATATATATATATATATATATATATATATATATATATAGAGGAAAAATGAAATGTTTCATCCTTTACATTTTATAAAAATATTCTTTTCATCCCTCATTTTTATAAAAACGAAGCAAATTCGTTCTTGACATTTAAAAATTAAATCCATTACATTCTTGAACCTAATTTTCAATCTGAATCAAACCATCCAATAACCCAACAATGAATTTCGAAAATAAAATTGATAAATTATTCGGTCAACTTCATCATATTCACATGACATTTATTAAACCAAAAAAATAAAAATTATAACATAAAAGGCCATTCTTTGTTTTGGAATAGTAGAATTTTTTTTTTGATAAATCTTTTCATGCACCGTTAGTATATCCGCTTGCGAATCTAGATGTGTATCATAAATATAAAATTTGATATTTAAATTTAAATTTAAATGATATGCGGTACATAAAACCGTCAGTGTATACAATGATAATTTTAAAAAAAATTAATCTTTCTTTTAGATTCATTAAATTTCACATGAATATCAAGTTGAGTTAACTAAGTGATCTTCTAATTACACCTCCAAAATTTGTAATCAGGTTGATTGGTGGTTTGATTAAAATTGAAATTTAGGTTTAGAGATGTAATAATTTCAGTTTTTAAATGTCAAGGATGAAATTGCTCCATTTCAAAAGTAAGGGACGAAAAGAATATTTTTGTAAAATGTGAAGGATGAAACCGATCATTTTTCCATATATATATATATATATATATAAGATTTAGATCATTGCGTGTATGTTATTTTTAATTCTGTGTGAGATTCATAACAATTTATTATATATTTACTTTGTGTTCAAAATAAGTTACACCATAGAAAAATAAATGTATATTTTATGAAATTGGATAAAAAGGGACAAATTTTTGGTGTCCCAAGCCCAGCAAGACGTCGTATGTGGATTTGTTTGTGCCCAACCCCAACGTTGAGGTGAAAAAAGACGCCAAGAAACGGATTGAGATGCCACGTAGCCCAAGTCAAGACTACGATCTGCGACCACAATCTTCTTCTTCGACGTCCTCCTCATATTCATTGACTCTTCCTCAGTAGTCAGTTCCTTGCCGCCACTATTTTTATTTTATCGATCTTCACTCTCAGCTTCGTTAATCACGCGCTTTGTTTACACCTTCCATTTTACGGCCAAAGCAACTCACCGGCCGGGACTCTATCCACATTCTAGTATATACAGTAGCAAATGCCTACCTTATTGGATTTTTTTATTATTAAAAAAATTTTTAAAAAAATAAAAGAAGAAATCGGGATGGTGTTTTGGATTATCTTTCTCGTTTCTGTGTGACATGCCAAATGATTCCTTTTCTAAGACTTTACAATTGGACTTGGTTTATAAGAACGCACAAGCGTAATTGATGCGCATCTCCATGAATGCATAGATCAGTTCGTACAATTAATATGTTTACAAATAAATGTATATGTTGGACTCAGAGATCTTTGTCTAAAATTTAAACTGCCAGTTTTAAGATATACTCCATCCGTTCCACTTTGATAGTTCTGTTTCTTTTTTCACACAGTTTAAGAAAAAAGTAGTTAATTTTGTTGGAAAAGTAAATTTAGATTGTTATTTTTCTAAAATACCCTCACATTAAATATGGTACAACTTTATGGGAACTTGAATTGATGGTAAAAAAAAATCAACTCTCATTAAATGTGATAAGTAGGTTTATAGTAACAATTACTTACATTGAATAAGGGTATTTTAGAAAATTTAAAATACAACTACATTCTTCAATTGAAAAATGGACTATAATTTGGGACAGATGAAAAAGAAATACAGGACTATCAAAGTGGGACGGAGGGAGTACTTATAAATGCGACCAAAGCAAGCATGAAATTAGTGGCGGGGAAGAAGGGTTTGGATGAATTAATATATGATGTAGCAGTAGTGAAGGATGACGACTCATTGTTTCCTGTGACGATGATGCATTAGGGAAGGGAATCTTGCCTAACCAAAGCCAGATCCCTACATGTTCTTCAAAGGACAATAATAATAATACTATCAGGAAAGTACCTTCAAATCTAAAACCCTTTTGCTTAGTTGTATAAATCTAGTGGGTGTTATATTTTATTCTTTGAATCTCCCTCTATTGTTTTTCTTTTTATTTTTCTGCTAAAACACTAGAGGTTATTTGAACGTTTTAAAGAGAAATAGAGTAGTTACCCTTGATCTTAAGTTTATGAGGCCAAATTTTGGATGGATCTACAAGTGAGCGAGCATTTACAGTAGCACAATGTGAGAATTGCATGAGATGTCCGACGAAAATGGCCCGACTGCAAAGTTAATGCAAATACAAACATTATCGTGTCTTATATTATAATTACCAAGTCCTTTTTTTTTTCTTCTTTTATAGCTCCGTTTGGATTAGCTATTTTTGAGATGTTTTTTAAATATTTTATTATAACAATGTACGTGAAAAAATTTTATTGTAAATGTTTTAATGTTATTTTTGGGATATTTTTGAAAATATATTTTGGGTATATTTAAGATTTAAAATTTTAATGAGATATTTTAAAAATTGCAAAAAACCGTACCACCACCCACCCCCTCCTCCCTCTTATCCTCCCCTATATTTTGGTGGTATTGTTGGGGATATTTGGAATGCATTTTGGAGTATTTTTATAATTTAAATATGTTTGGGTACTTTTTAAAAAATTTACACCACTTACCACCACTATCCATCTCCACCATGGCCTCACTCCTCCTCCCTTCTCTCTCTCCCCCTCTTCCTCCCTCCCTCTCCCTCTCTTTCTCCTTGTTCCCTATCCCTCCTCCCCTCCCCCCTAAACCCACCCGAAGATTGCCGACCCAACCTTCCTTCGAATATGGTTGTGACTAGAAGGTCGCGACTAGTGCAACCAAAAGGTCACAGTTGGTGCTGCTGCTGGTTCTTGGGAGAGGAAAGGAAAGGTAGGAGGAAGGAGAAGGAGAATAAGGAAGGATGGGAGGAGCAACAGTGAGGTAATAGTGATGGTGGAGGAGAGAGTAGTAGATGGTGGTGGTGATTGGAGTAAGAAAAAAGGTGATAAGATATATTTATATTTATTTTATTTTTTAAGTTGTATTTAAAATCTAAGGAATGTTTTTTGGTGATTTTTTGAAGCGTGTTACTGTAGATTTGTAGATGAAAAACAAATATTTAAAAAACTCTCAAATCCAAACGGAGCCTTGTCATTAGAATATTTTTCTTAAATAGGGGAAAGAAAAGCAAGCATTCATGATTTTTTTTTGTTGTTAGGTCATGCTCCACTACAACCAACGAAGAGGTAACCAAAGTGAGTGAATTATGAACAAAACAAAACAGCTTTCTTCATCCATACATTATATTGGTTATACAAAACTTTTCTCTAGGTTTTTTTTTTTGTTAAAAAAATCTTATTCATTTTTCTAATTTTAAAAGATTTTTCCATTGATGGCTGTAATTTTCCATGCTGGTGTTCTAATCTAAAACGTATAAAATACAAGGACAAATTTCTGCCGCACTATGATGGCTCGAGAACGAGTAAAAGCTCACAAAAGAACGCCAAAACAGAAAAGATGGAAAAGGAGCAAGTTAGTAAATAAGTCACGCTTCGCGGAGAGAATGTTGAATCCGCAAAGTCCCACTCTCCAAAACGATGGGCGCAAAAAGATGAAGCTGCAGAATCATACAAAATGGTGCAAAGGGAACCGGGCGTTTGCGGAGACACGGAGCCGGTCTTACCCAACACCATGGAACCACCCACAGTACCCTACCCCGGCAACCACAATACGTGCACTCAAACGCACCCTCGCTCTTCCCCAAAACCAATAACAAACCCACTGCATAGTGCATACGCTTACATACATACATACATACGAGTTTGTATTTATGGAAGGTATATCATCTAGGACTATAAATTTTAGGATTAATCATTCCTACACTTGTCAGCGTTGATGAATGACAATTATGTAAAATTTAAATTTGAAATTCAATTTTTGCACATATATCATAAATCAAACGGTGATAGTGTATACACTGTCAGTGTATATAAGATTTATCCTAAATTTTATTAGCATACTAAACTAATCTATGTTGAGAGTTTGTTTTAACATGCGTGTTATCAATTTTTTTTTTAAATCATACACGTGAATATATATTATACGAATACTGAGTGTGTTTGGATTGTGAGTTATTTGTCCAAATATATTTACTTACATCACCATTACAATTTCTAATACACCTTTTTATCTTCCCAATTACCTATTTACTAACTGTAACTATGTAACTAACGAAAATGAAACGGTGATTCTTTGGCCGTTCAGAAGGGGTGGAAGGCCGATCAAGACAATTTCAAAGAAAAGACAAAGCACAAGGCCAAATGCAATACAGTAGAGAAATTCGTTGTTTCGATCTATGCCGAGATTTTTCAGGGTTCCTTCGATACTATGATTTAAAAAAAAAAAAAATACTAAGAGTATTTTCTTGAATATCAAGCATAGCCTCACAATGACTTGTAAACTCGAGGAAAATCTGCTTTACTACTGCTGAATTGATGAGATAACCATTGTTCAAGTCATTGTTGTGACAATTAAGTTGGGGCCAAATAAAAAATGCGATCATCCCCATCAATTAATGGTCAAGATAGGTCAAAAATGTTCCAAGGATCATTTTATCCAAGTTACATTCATGGTCATATGCAAATTGCACTAAAATGGTGATTGTTCCTTTCGTTACATCACATTATGGTCCCACCCACCCGCTCACTCTAGCCTCTAGAGAAAGGAAAGGGAAAATCCTTCCAAACCATAGTCCGAATATGATCCTCTCTCCTTAACCATGGTTAATTTTTCCAGCCTCCTCCCGTCTTCCTTCCCTTCTGCGCCTTTTTTTTTTTTTTTGGCTCTCAATAATTCTTCTCTACCTTTCTCCACCTCCCATCCCATGCACCCCCTCCCATTCCTTCGCTATAAAAGGATTCTATCCCCCTCTTTCCCCTGCCTCTTCCTCTCCTCCCAACCTCCAAACTCCAAACTCACTTCCAGCCTCCTTTTTAGATACCCAGCTCTATAAAGCAATCACTGCCCTCATAACTCACCTCATCTCTCAGGCATATACATATATACAATAATACACACACATACAGCTGTAGATAATAGAAGGCAGGCAAGGAGGAGGAAAAGTTGATTAGATGTGGTAAAGATGAGTTGTAACGGATGCCGAATACTAAGAAAGGGCTGCAACGAAAACTGTATACTACGACAAAGTTTACAGGGGATTGGGAGCCCTCAAGCTCAAGCTAATGCCACAGTTTTTGTCGCCAAATTCTTCGGCCGCGCCGGTCTCATGTCCTTCCTCTCCGCTGTCCCTGAACCCCAAAGACCAGGTGATGTATCTTTCACGTATTTATCTATCTCTTGTGGCGATTGGGACGGTGAGAACAGAGCCCTGGTTCTGTGAACAAGAGGCTAATTAAGTTCGACTCGCACCATCCCGATCAGAAATGTGTTGTATCGAACTTTTTCCCCCTGTTTTTGGGGGGTATCCCATCTGATGAGAATTTTTTTATATGAATTTGGTCTATGTACAGCCTTGTTTCAATCGCTGCTATATGAAGCTTGTGGGAGGACCGTGAACCCAGTAAGTGGAGTGGTGGGGCTGCTGTGGACCGGCAACTGGCAGCTGTGCCAGTCTGCAGTGGAGACGGTTCTCCGTGGCGGAGTTTTGCGGCCGATGATGAATCTTCCTGCCGAACCTCAAGAAGCTGTGGACCATGATGATGCGTCGGAGGCGAGCCGTCTGTGTCTTAACTTGTCGGCCCGAGTGACGGCAGGCGGGAGAGTGAAGAGGAGGTCGGCCACACCGGAGGAGTCCGAAACCTCCACCATGGAGAGCTGCTATGATTATACTGCTAGTAATTATTTTCAAAATCTAAAAGGCGGAGAAGGAACAAAGCTTCTTAGACTCTTTTTTTGACTGAGCATCGGCAAATGCAATTTTCCTGAGGATTTTAATCAATTTGACTTTTTCCCCCCCCTCTTTCTTCACTTGGGCGCTTCTGGGGTTTTGTTTCAGTTTCCTTTGGCCGGCAAAAGCGGTTTTTTTGGGGGGGTTGCTGGATTTCTCACTTGTGGTTTGTCTGAATTGTCACTCGTATTTGTGACCTTGAATAAAATCAAGTAAATTCTCAGCCATCTTCATCTATATATCCCCTTTACTTTACGACGGGTTTATAATCAACAACCTTAATATCGCCTTGAACCATTTCCCGTTTGTTAAGGGATTATGGTGTGACATTAAAAGGGGCTGACGGCGATGATGATGTGAGATTTTGGGATTTTCCATCTTTCACTTTCTATTCTCATTTGTTTGGTTGAGTTGAGTATTGACTGAAGAGGGCTGTTTCTGGAATGGTATCCTCAAGCCGTGAAGTTCATTGCACGAAATGATTTTGTGGAACATGTAAACGATATAATAGTAGTGAGTTCAATGATTATGAGTACAGTACAGTATGTGTGTAGAACAAGAAAAATGAAATAAAATCACTGCTTATAATTTGATTGATGGCTCTAATTGAAAGAGAAATCGGTTGCTTGCTTAAGCTTAATTAATCGTGAATGATTCAGATGCTATGACATGTATTTGCATGTGCATGCCACTCTCGCTTAAACCAACCCCCCTCAAATATATGGTCTCTCGTCTGCCAAACTAGACCAAGAAATTAATCTGGTAAATTGGAGCTTATGAATTGCGATCCAAACATTTGCTAGTTGCCACCATATTCCATGATTAAAATCTCTAGGATCCAAACATTTTATTGGGCGCTATATTCTTGAGAGTCGAGACATCTGTCTGACTGAACAAAGGCGAGATGAGGCCTCTAAATAAGTACGTCTTTCCAATGCGTGGGTCTATCTATCTACCTCTCAAAAAAGTGCCACATCTTTGATTTCCAACTTGTAGTACAACCTGGAGTTGGAATGATAGATGTTTAATATACTGACCAAGCTTCTTTATTTTGCTACCCAGGCTTTCTCCCAATACCAACTTCTAATTAAACCGATTTTTTTTTTTTTTTATCCCTTTAGCTTTAAGATTTTAATGGCTTGTACGTTTTCAATTTTCTGCCTCACCATGAATGAACTGCCATGTTCTGGAAACACACAATGTAGATGACGCGGTGAAAGATCCTTCATCAAGAATTAATGGATGGCTTATTAAATCGTGTCCCCGATCCATCCATAATCAGACACAAAAGATTGGTTGCCCGGTCAAAAGAGTGGTTTGATCGGACATGGGGCATCATTTATCTGGTTCATAGGCTTGTGCGTGCAGGCACATGGCCCTCTTCCGGAGGATTTTGGCTAACTGAACAAAGCTTAGACAGCATAAATTCCAGGAATGGTTCTTTACAGAGGCAGGTAAGCCGTCTAATTAGAGGGTTCAGGGGAGGCCGGTCAGGGATGTGCAAATTGCATTTATCAGCTTGAGTGTGAATTAGCGGTGGAAGGGTGGCGAGGGACAGCTAGCTTTGCTGGTGGCTTAGATCAGCAATGGGAAACAAAATGGGGCCCTGTTCAATCAAGTTATCTTCTGGCTTTCAAAGTGGGGATATAGCCAAGCCAATAGAGGGGATGCGACCATCCATCCATTCATTCTTGTCTTTCCAGTTAAATTGGGGGGCAGTGGGGCCTGAAGAGGAGAGGGGAGTGTGTGGGTGTGGATTCCACAGTCCACACACACTGATGCAGTCCAACCCAGCTGCTGTGCGTCGCTGCATATGCTTTTTGGGGTGCCTCATGGACCCCATTTGTCGTTGTCTATTTTCACAGCCTACGCCTCGTTGCTCTATTCTATTCCTGCCCCCCCCCCCCCCTTTTTTTTTTTTTTTAATCTTGCCTCGCTTCCTGCTTAGCAATTGATTAGTGGAGATAGATAATTTCGAATAACAGGTTCTCTTTTCACAATTCGTTCCTAAAGCACATACAAAAAGAAAAAATGAGCAACAGTAAGGGTACGACGTTTGATAAAATTGAAATATGGAAATTGAATTCATTCAATTAGTGAATTGTTAAGTACTAAATTTGATACATTTGATTATATATCACATTAAATGATAAGTGAATAGCTAATTACTCATTTTTTGGAGCAAATTTTACCTACAAAATTCAGAGCAACTTAATGAATTCAAATGTTCTAGTTTTAATTATCAAACACGTCTGAATATGTTAATATTGAATCCATTAAATTTAAGTATTTAATTGAATTATCAAACAAGGTCCAATCTGTTTGAATAGCCTTTTTTTTTTTTCTATTACAATTACTTGCATTACGAACATATTTAGTTTTTAATCAATCTTTTTTTTTTTCATTTTAATCAACTTTTTATCTTACATATATTACATTCCAAAAGTGATACATACAATAACTATTTGAAATGATTTCCTATCCAAATGCACTTGCTGTCCATCACGCGGGTCGGTTTATTCGCATTCCCTTCTAACTTTTCTTAATGACGGGTTAATCTTGAAAACCATGAACCAACAAAAGGGAAACGAAAAGGGCTCTTGTGTCTGATAGGACTAGGAAGGCTGGAGACACTCAGGAGGCCGAGACGAATTTGATGCCTCTGGCAATCAACTTGCGCATGATTGGATGAATGGAATATTTTTCCCCACTCGAATTCTGCACCAACTTAAAATTTGAGTTCAACCTTGAATTTATCCTTTATTCAATAGGCTCTATCTAGATTCAGAACCGTGAAATTTTTATTTGTATTTTTAACATTACTTTATCAATTAAGGAGTACCAACAAACAAACTTTTTTAGAGTAAACTTTCTTAATTTGAGAGACCAAATTGAGATGTTTTACTACTTTAAAAGATAAGATGCAAATTTTGAAGTAGAGCATCAAACTGAGAAAAATTTTGAGGGTTATTTCAAATATTTCATGAATTCTATCGATTCAAAAGAAGCCGAAGAACTGCGGACTAGAGTGTCCAGCCCCTTGTTTATGTTATGGGGGACTATCTGCAAAGGAGACATCTGAATTGCGATCGACCAAAGCTGGGACGCAGTTTACGCAAATACCCCTTCTTGAATTGCGAGTAAGAGGACGCATCCAGATGAACTGTGAAAGGCAATCCCCGAAAACAGAGACAATTAAGAAGTGCAATTTATTAAGGAGCAGGGATCTGAATTGCGGCTACCTGAGAGATCGAGACAAACAGAAGACTGCAAAGGTGGCATTTGATTGTTGACTTTCATTTCTTGTAACGTCCGTCCACCAATACTCGTTGTTTCATCATGTTTACAAAAAAATTTTTGTCCTTTTTCTTCCTTGGACATCACAAAGTGGAGGACAAGCTCCGGCACTTGGTTGGAGAGTGTGCAAACTTTTTTCCCTTTTTTTTTTTTTTTTTTTTTTGGGGGGGGGGGGGATGTGGTGGATGTGGGTCTTAAGAAAGCCAATGAAAAGGAGTGGAGCACAGTGTCCGAGTGTGTTTTTTGTTTTCTGTTTTCCGCATGCTGTGGAGGTCAAATTTAAGCTGTCCCTTGTGCCCCTCTATTTTGTCATTTCATTTTGGACTTTGCCTTGTATGCTTCTATGGTGGGAACAAGTAGGGCTTCCAACGACTCAAGCTTTGCGATAAACTAGTCGAGTTCGACTCAATTTTTATTAAGCTTGAGTTCGAGTTCGACAAGCTCTTATTTTATAGCTCGAACTCGAGCTTAAATAAAATTAAAAAAAAATAGTTTTAACATTTTTAAAAATTGACATTTCACTCTAATAAAATAATAAAAATACAGAGGACATAAACTGTTTAAAATATATAAATTCGAATTGGCTCGACGTGTTAACGAGTTAGTATTCGCGTACTTAATTTGATGATTACATCGTAAAGTCAACTCGAACTCGAATCAAGTTTTGACCGTTGCGAGCAGACTTGACGCCGGGGCGAAGGACTTTAAATGCATCGTGATCGTACATAATAAAAGACAAGTACCATGGCAACCGAGTTTAATCTTGGAGTTGAGTTAATTAATGTGAGTGGTCCAAAACTTGTGTTTTTTGGTTGGTTCAACTTCCACACGCAAAGGAGGAATGAAGATGGATGGAAATACGGTAGACTATCTGGCAGATATCTTAGTGGGTTAAAGCTAAACAAAAAAACCCTCCGAATGACTTGGACGCCAGCTCCGCCCGGAGTTGGGGTAGCAAAATCGTTCGAAACCCATTTTCGTATGTTCGGCTTCCGTTTCTGGGGTTGAAACGGGCCTAATTTGCTCTTCCAGAAACACCGGTTGAATTTTAGCGTTGAACAAGTAAAGTTGACTGCTGTCCAAAATTCCCCTCTTTTATTCTCTTTCTTTTGGGTGTTGCGGTCTAAAATTCCCCCTCCGGTTTAGCACTAGCGGTGGTTGTTTGGGTCACGGTCCAAAAACGGTCTTCAAGATCCATTTTGGTTGGCTATTCAACCGGAAGTACAATTCATTAAGTCGAGGGTAAGGATTTTTCTCAGTCGAGGGAGAGAAAGGCCATTTCATAATAATGGAAATGCATTGTCAGTGGCTTAGTTTGTTGGTCGGGGGAATGTTTATGTGCCCCACGCAGCCTTGGATTGGGTTGCTGGGACGAATCTACCCTCGTCGTCAAACTTTTACATTCCCCATAAGTTCGACCTTCTAACCAAATAAAATATTACTCCCTTCGTCCCACTTTCATAGTCCTGTTTCTTTTTTCACACAGTTTAAGAAAAAGTAGTTAACTTTATTGAAAAAGTAAATTTAGATTGCTATTTTCCTAAAATACCCTCACATTAAATATGGTACAACTTTATGGAAACTTGAATGGAGTAGGTTTATGGTAAAAAAAGAATCAATTCTCATTAAATGGGATAGATTTATAGTAACAACAACTTACATTGAATAAGGGTATTTTAGAAAAATTAAAATACAACTACATTCTTCAATTGGAAAGTGGACTATAATTTGGGACAGACGAAAAAGAAAAACGGGACTATCAAAGTGGGACGGAGGGAGTATATTTGCTTGCCAAATTTATGCTTCTATTTACTTGGATTTAGTCCGAAAACTATGAAGGGAACCCAAGTCTTCATAGTTTTCAGGTTTTACAACACAAATGGCTTCCACAGCGACCAGATTTTCTGCCAATTAATTATACATCAAACTCGTAGCCACAAAATCAAGAAGTGCAGAGAGTCAAATGACAAGTGATAACAACTCTGCCAGATACCACTGGTGAACAAGAATTTCATTAGGAAATATATAATATGATGGATATATATACACAAAAGTTTTCTCTTCCCCTCAAGAAAGGGGAAACAGAAAAAGAAATGTGTACACAACTAATTACTACTGATTAAGACATTTCCTCTAACTCTGGATGGATGCTAAGGCACAATACTGCAGAACATTGACCTCAATTATTCCCCAAAAAATGTCGGTTGAGAAGCGAAACTAATCAGTTGTTGTCGCATCACTATTGCCGCCAAAGCCATCTCCGCCTTTGGACCGAATGGTTTTAGTTCTTCTATGTTAGCATTAGAGTCGGTAGTCACAAGGATCAGTTGTACAATGTCATGTCAAGCTGTTCATACACGGTTATGTTGTAAGATGTGTGTTCTCAAACTACAATCTTTCACCTGTCAAATATGTTTGAACAAGTACAATCAGCGGATGAATCAGATAAATTGCCTGAATGGAAAATAAAAAGAGATGGCTGGTATTTACCTGCATGGCTGCTAGCACAGCCAAGAAATCTTTGCATTGTTCGAGTAAAGCTCGCTCTTTTGCAGTCACTTTTGCAAGTTCAATCACTAGAGAATTCACTTCATCTACCTGAAAAAAAGGATCAACTTGGTTAGACATGTTTTTACAAGTATTATATCATCTTTCAGCCGCATGTTCCAAGTACATAATCTCCATGCTGATTTTTCTCAACATAACCAGGATTTTGAAACTCAAACAACCATCCGTACATTAATTAAAAAATAAAAGAACAACAGAACCGAGAAGCATTGTATATGTAGATGCAGGTTTACTCCTTTCTTCAGGCTAACCTTGATATGCCAGATATACCAAAAGTTTGACACATGACTGCTTCCTGGTGTATGTTTGTTCTGCTCATCACAACTGTACTGCCATTATTGTATTTTATATCTCAATGATGAATAATGAATTATTGCCGGGATCTGTTACAGTTAAAATGATATCTAGAATCTGCAAAGGCTGATACCAAATATGTTAAACCTTGTGACAAAGCTTGTAAGAACGCTTTCTTTCTTTGGTTAACAGAATATCCTTGGAATCAAATCTGCAAGACTCGTGGTTTTTGAGAAGTCACTGGCTGCAATTAGATAGCTTCAAATTTCAATTTACATCACTAGGACATGCATGTTCCTCTTCTCTTCAACATAAGGACTAATTTGTTATCTCATTATCAGCCACAAGGATGGGAGGTGAAGAGAAGTAGAAGGATATTGGAAGTGAAGATTGAGAATAATTATCCATGAACTACTACTGTTTCCGTACTTTTCTTACAGCCATGTATCATCCACATAAAGAAATTAATTTGTCCTTTCAAGACCACATCAATCTGTAAATGAATGTTCCATGTGGTACAACACAGAAACAAATAAAAAGTATGTTTGCTGGTTTAACTGGGAACAACTTATATTGCAAACTGTAAAGAGATGAATATCTTAATAAACTGAAACATGAGTAATGACGCTCATAAGCTTAGGATCAGCTGCACTAGTTTATCACCTAAATATTAGATCAAGAAGAGGCCTTGATGGAGAAAATTCAGCTACCATTTTCCAACCGAACTGCATTTCAGAAACAAAACTAGAGCAATTCGAAAGGTTTGAGAATTTTTACCCAAAAAAGACAGATAAATTACCTTTGGCAGAAGAGAACATATTGAAGATGCCATTCCCTGCATCATGTCCACTGCAGAACCAACTGCCTCCTTCAAGCTTTGAATATCAGCCTGTTATGATTAAAGCTTTATACAGTCAATGAAAATTATGACAGCCCATTTTTTCCCATTTTTTTTCTTGGTGTGTTGATAATTTTCAGAACTTTGAAAGCAATAAAGTAAATCAGGGCACATACAATAGCCCCTCCACCAACAGGGAGGCGAAGAGTGCTAGCCTTCAACGCTTCAATTGCTCCTAGCAGAGAGATAGAGTGATCTTTATCCAAAGAAGCCCAATCTTCTAAACAAGTTATCTACAGAAGATGAGGAAAAGTGGTTTCAGAATATATTCGATTGAAAAGGCAAATAATAATTTACTGATTGGTTCAATAATTTCCAGTTACAAATTCAATTTCCTTGGAAATTTTGCTAAAAACTAGCAAGTAAATTGAATAACATATTGCTTGCATCAATATTGGCTTTGCACTCTGATTGCATGTTCCCATACCACAGACAGTGATATTGTATTGCTAGAGTTCACATGACAAAAGCATATAAAAACCATACAAAATGCAATCATATAAGATATCCTGATTAAAGATTTTCAGCAGAAAAAAAAAATAATAATAGAAAGGATCAGCTTTCAGATCCCTTTTCATATGTGAAAACTCAGCTTGGAAGTAAACAGGGCATCATACAGATAGGAAAAAGACTTCTGAAACTTTTGCAATTCCTAAGAGTAATTAAACGGTTCACAGGGGATAAAATTTTGCGACCCCATAAACAAAATCTTGGGTATTCAAGCTTAAAGAAAATAACCAAATCAAACAAAAGGGAGCTTTTTCACAAACACATTCAAGTTGGAGTATGTCACTGTGAATCTCACTTAAAATAACTCAAGAGATTAGACTTACCCAGACTAAGTTTTTTTTTCCATTCATAAAGTGTTGAGTGATAATTGACAAGAAGACGTATAGATAAGGAATATCAACCATATAGACCTTCTTCAAATAAAATGACATTAAAGAGAGGGATGGGAAATCCCAGAGACTTATATTTTTGGAAAAATGCTAACATTTGCACAATCCCCAATCCCATGTTCATATCTATCTTACTAATTGAGAATCCGATTACTTATTTACCAAATCATAACTAGCTCCATGAACTACAAAATAACCAGAAAGGTAGTATGTGATCATGACAGTTTTATAAATGAAGTTATAAATTGTGTCATGGACTCTCTCTCTCTCTCTCTCTCTCTCTCTCTCTCTCTCTCTCTGAGGTGTGATTTGGTTAAGTATGTAACCTAACTAACATCTATAAAAGTTTCAATTGATATATTTCAGACCTCTCCAGCATTGATGAATATGAGAAATTTTATTTTTATTGCTCTTGGACAACCACAAAATGTTTTATGTGTCTAAAGAAGGCCTAACACTTACCACGGTAAATGAACGATTTTCAGACCATCATTTAAACAGGGTATTCATCCAAAAACTGATGAAAAGAATGAAGCTTACTTGTCCCTTGAGAATGGAGGCTAACTTCAATTTTTGCCTCAGCAACTGTAACCTGTGTCTTTTCTTTGTGACTGTATCACGTAGATCTGAGATTGTTATCCAAGCATTCCACAGACTCTTCTGGAAAAAGGACAAAAGCATAGCTAAAAATATTAGAATTTTGTCTCTTTGTACTAGTTGAGCAACACAGGCACTACAAAAAAGCAACATATAAACCATGAAGTTATGAAAGAAGTCACTGGGGAGCAGTATTAAGTAAGACAAGATCACCCACCATGAGGACAAAAACAAGTTAAAGAGATGATAAAATAGAATGAGCTTGCAACACTAGACTGCCATGAGCAGCACGGAGCCAAAAGTGATATTTGGAAGGTGCAAGTAATTGTAAAACTTGCAGGAGTTCTTCACTTTCTAAAACTTGCAAAACTTGACTTAAATTCTCACAGTTATGTCAATCCATACCATCACGTTCATATGAGAATCTCTAGAGGGTATTGAACTGTTTCCTAAACAAACGACTCTTGGAGCATGAAAGCAGTAAAGTAATGTAACCGCTTAGCTAAATTGGTAATCATCCAAACAGAGGCAAAGTAAACCCACCCATCAGTGGATTATAAAGATCACACTCCTATATAAATACTAAGCTATGCTATACACCACAAACAGGTTAAGCATTTATGCCATCAATCATCCAATAGTTACTTGAATACTAAGCCATACATGAAGTCATTAAATAGTTACTTGGATTATAAAGATCATACACCTACATGAATACTAAGCTATGCTATAGAGCACAAACAAGTAAAGCATTTATGCCATCAGTCATTGAATAGCCACTTGACGCTCAAATCTGTATGAAATGAAAATCAGACACTAAAACAGAGGAGGAACAATTAGGAAAGACCACTGATAAGGTCCCCTCCCCCCCTCCAACCCAAAAAAAAAAAAACTAAGCCCCAAAAAGAAAAAAGGAAAAAAAACTATCCCAAAGAAGACAATAAAATTGGAAAGCTAGAGGAAGTGCTAGAAAAAGCAACTATAATTGTTAAAAGATATCAAATTTAGAAAGCTATTCTAAATCCACTGAAACTTGGATGTCCAAAAACACAGTTTCACGGCACCTAATCTATTGACATAATTGTTGCATTCTTATAGGGCATTGTATCCAGGGCAAAAGCAAACTTGGTCAAAATATTTGAAACAGTCAACTAAAAGCTCAAACACTAACTGCAGAGTAAATCTAGAAATACTCAAATTTAGTACTATAACGATAACTACTGTCCAAAAAGAACAGAATAACTAACCTCTGCACTATGTTTCTGCGCCAGCAAGGTTGCTTCAGTCCTAGCATTTCCAAAACGCCACTGCAAATGTCGATTATATAGAAGTCTCAACAAGTGAGCATCCACAATTCTGTTCTCCCCAACTTTCCCCCTCCGAACATCAACAGCAAAACTGAGAACTGAAGGTGTCTCAATAAAACTACTATTAATAGTACTAACAGCATTTCTGACCCGAGATGGACTAGGCATTCCTCGTGAAGGAGATGATCCAACTGAGGTCATAAGCTTACTGGGAGATGAAGCTCTTATAGGCCCCCGAATAGGTGATGACATTGTTCGTGGTGATGATAAGGGACCATCACTAGGGAACTTCTTCAACTTTGGCGGCACAATCAATTTTGAACCAGGACTAGTTGCCAAAGGTGACCCAGGGTCCTGCAACCTCCTCAACCGACTATTAGTTTCTTGCCAGAAGCGAGCTGAAACAACAATTCCACGAGGTACACCTTTAGCATGGGAAACCCCAGTACATTCTTGCACTCCAGAAGTACTACCGGAAGAAACACTATCTGTATCAGATGCAGTAAGATCAGACTGCACAGACGACTCATTATTGACTGAATTTCCATCTGGGGCATCCTGAACTGCCTTCAAAAGCTCAGCATTGCCCAAATCAATACTCAGCCTTCCATCAAATGAAGCCCTTCTCTCATCAATCATGGACTGCTGCAATGCTCTAATAACATTCCCAGATCCAATGAGCTTACTCCGCTCCCCACCACTACAATCTAAGCTTCTAGATAAGGGATTTGCCTGTCTTGTCCTAGCCGGCCACCGATGCTGATCAATGGGCCTGGAATTTTCAACTTGATCTCCACCCCCATCACCCTTCACCCTTGAAGGAGTACTACTTCTCCTCCTTTCTGGTGTATTCTTCCTCACACTACTCAAATTAGGTGAAGGCGGGGCAGCTTTAGTCTTACTAATTGGAAGCGAAAAGGCTTCCCCCTGAAAAGAAACTGATAAACTCCTAGTAGCAGTGACCAGCAGCTTTGTAGCAGCTGAAGGTTCACCAGCACCTGCATTGCCTTGTTTGGCATCAAGATCGGGTGTTAAAGGCCTAGCTGCTGTCACCGGCCGCCTCCGGTCGACAGAAACTGACCTTTTTGGCACCAAAGCAGGAGAATTCCACGCGGCAGTCGAATTCCTTGAAACTAAAGGGGATGGGAATCTTCTAGAGGAAACTGATGACGAAGATGCAGAGGAAGAATTGGAAGTAGAAGTGGAAGGAGAAGAGGACATGTACCTTGAAGAAACAACTCTTGATTTAGGCCTTTTTGGGTTGTCAATACCATTATTATCCTTCTCAGAAGGCAGCAGTGGAGGTCTTCTTTGGTGAGTTTGAGTCTCATCTCGAGAAATTGTTTTGGGGTTTTGTGGGCCAGTTGTTGAAGCTGCTCCTCCTCCACCAGAAACAGCAGCCACCATCATCACACACAAACATATACACACAGTTCAGACACCAGATACTCAAACTTTCACCCTTCACATTGTCTTTTCACACCAAAATGTGACTTATCGACAAGCCTATTTTGCTTCTCCATAGCACAAAAACCCTGTAAGAAGATCACGAAATCCCAGCATAACTCAAAATCCCGCAATGGGTTTTTGCAAGATTCCACATTTTCTCAAGATTTCTGCAGAGATGAGCTGATACAATGCAGGTTCTTTTGCTAATCTAGACCAAGAAAGCTATGGAAAATGAAAAAAAAGAGGTAATTTTTCCAGCAAACACAGTGACGTTTCTCGGAGAAGAGAGAGAGAGAGAGGGGTAGAAGGAGAGTTGGTGAAAGGTGAGATTTGGGGGCATGGAAACTTGGTACTACAATGGTAAGGAGGAGTGAGGAGGGCTGGGTTGTGGGTGGGGTGGGCTATTTCGTGGCGGTTTTGGGTTTTGTGAGCCTTTGGAGAGACGTTACGCTAACCCAAGGCAAATTATGCTTATTCTTCAACAGTGGATTTTTCTAATGACGAATGAATTTCTATTTTATTGTCTAAGATAGGGTACGCATGACTGCTTCTTTTTTTTTTTTATTATATATATATATATAAATTTTTGGGGTGTGTGCTTTTGTAGGTGCAGATAGGGAATACTCAACTAAATACAAGCCAAATCCTTACGCGTCAAATGAAGGGAAGTTGACATCGAAGCACATTCTATTTTGCAACATTTTTCTTGGTTCGTGAAATTGAAAAAGAAAGAAGAATTGTTGTTTTAAATTTTTTTTTAAAAAAAATGACAATATGGAATGACCATAGCACCCTCTAGGATTTGATGCAAAGAATACCTAGAAATTGGTTTTGTGCAAGGGAAGAAGAGCAAACTTTGCCAACCCTTCTTTGTTGATATATAGAAAATGCCAATCAAGTTCTCATCTCATCTGTGTTGCTATCCTTTTTTATTTTCTTTCTTTTTTTTTTTTTAAAAAAAAACAGGGTTCACTGCAATAAATCCACTTTCTGAACCAGAGACTACTATTGAAAAGAGCTCTATTATGCAATGGTTTAATATGACCAACTGTTACTTGACCGCATAGATAGTTGGCTTGAGACGAGCCATGCATTGGTGAGAAACAGTAGGGTAGGGGAGGCTCAAGAAGTGTTGATTAGTACTAGGATAGTAGTAGTTTTTAGTACTGTGAGTACAAAATTCAGCATTGTGAATTTCTTTAGGGGTCTAAAGGGGCCTGCAGGTGCAGGCCTTGAAGAATCTTCTACTGCTAGTTAGGGCCATTTCTTCCTCCTCCTCATCATCTATAGCTAGTAGCTACAAAGAAAGGGTGGGGCAACCTCGAACTTCTAGCAAGGACAGCCTAATTTCCTGTGTTAGTTTAACAAAAAGTGGAATCTTGATCTGCTAAACACGGAAGAAAATGATCAATTGGAAAGTATGATAAGAGGAAAGAATCTTAGCTTCAGCGACTTGACTTACTTTTACAGCTCCTTCAATCCCAAAGATTAGATTAGTGACCGACCACAAGAAGTTCCAGGATCACCGAGTTTTAGAAATTAATCACATCACGCATGCGGTCTTCATAAAATGCCTTAGAATTACAAAGCTTCGCAATGGTAATTAATTTGATGATTAACCAAATCTTTATAGTCGAAGTGTACGAACCTGGCAAAACCTTGGAGTTCAGTGTCAAAATCTTTACGTTCAAGGGGCCTATATTTGAGGCTCGGATGTCGTTGTCAGAATTCCCTTTTACTTCTTCAGTGGCACACTGATGAAGAAAAGTAGATTCAGCGTATACCTTCTGCTAAAATGAAAAGGTAGATGCTTGCTCGTCCGCCACCGTCTCTCAGGAAATACTTGCACAAAAGACGCGAACAGTTACTAGCAGTACTACTTTGTACAGCCGAGTTGTGAACGAGCAGCATTTATTGAGTTGAGCTATCAAGGACAAGCCTTGCCTCGTAAATTTGGGATAATTTCAGAGACCTCCCCCAAAGTACCTGACAGTTTCACTTGGCACTCTCAATTTTATTTAGAAAATCTCACTTGCCTCCCTTGCTTACTTTAGGTGTTTTGCATCATTTTACAACCCATTTTAAAATATATCATTAAAAAATTTATTTTGGGAGAGTGAATGTTTTTTATCAAAAACATGTGAAGGTTTATTCTAGCTAACTGAACCAAATATAGAATGTTTTTTAAATATCAAAAGTTAATATTTGAAGGTTTATTTAAAATCTTTGCAAGTTACAAGGATAATATCTTCTTTTACTGTAAAGTGTTTTGAGTTAATTTAATAAGTTTTATAAATCTTTTTACATATTTTTGAATTTTTTTTTGAATCGATGGTTTGAAAAGTAAAAAAGATACAACGTGTTAAAAACTGTATATACACTTGTTTGTATTGTTTTTAAAATGGTGCGATAATCGAAAATTCACATGATTATGAATCATTGCAAGTTATTTTTGAAAAGCATTGTAAATAATTCTTAAGTTTAAGTAATTTAGCATTTCTTGTTGAAACCAATGGCACAAAACTACTGAAAATTTTTTCAATCTTATTATCAACTTTTAGATTTTCATTAAAGAACTATATCAATCAATTACTAAAAACTAAGAGATAAATTTAGTGTATTGTGATAATTAAGAAATGACAAGAGAAGAGCATATTTGGAATGCAATTATATTCTCTTTCCCAAAATGAGTTTTTTAACATTATACTTTAAAAGTTATAAACAGTTTAAAGTAGAGGAGTCAAATGAAATTTTTCAAAATTTGAGGGCCGTGTGAGATTGTTAAAAACCCTAGGAGAGGTTTCTGCAATTGTTCCCGTAAAATTTGCAAGATTTTGCACGAGATTGCCTAGCCATCTAATCTATCCCAAAAAAGAAAAAACGCAAAGCTATGATATAAGCAATTTGCATTGTTGCTTATTTTCGGCTGCTTTCGTGTATAGGATGCACCGTCTCATTCAATGTATCTTTCTCCGTCCATGATCTGAGCTTCGTTTCCCTTGCTTTTGACGCATGTTTATCCTTTCCTTGCTCCTCTTCTTCGGCATCTTTTGTTACCTTCGTTTTGTGTCATCCGCCTTCCTCCTAGCACTCCAATTCTTAGTTGTAGGTGATATTCCGAGGAAATTAAAGGTCAATTCAGCAACTTAGCCAGAGCCCAGCTGATGATATCAGTACCGGCTTTCTTCATTTCTTGTAAGCACCAGTAAATAATTTCCCATTCCATAAATGTTAAGCTCAACGATGGAATTGATCGAACTATTATTAGCAGCAGGCGACCAATTGTACGTGGACAATGCAGACAGTAGCATGTAGCCGGTCGTAAACAGATGTATCCCTGTCAGAGCAGTGTGCTCAAATGGCCATGTTCTTCCTTCTTGGTATTAATTTCCCGAACGGGGGGCGTTACCAGTTATGGTGACCCGTGACCTTCCCTTTGTAATGTTATTCAATGCAGAGAAGGAAGACGACCAAAAACCAGAGGAAGTTGCAACAACTTGCGCATCTACAGTCGTAGTTATTCACAAAATTTTAGACAGATATGGTCGTATTTTCATAGTTGCACGTAGTATCTTTTAAGTTATATGCGGTGCATTATTTGTTCTAGATCAACTCAACTAGTAGCAGTTTTTTTTTTTGGGTGGAAGTATTTAACAAGCGCTCCGAGTTTGAAATTCAACGCAGTTCCTATTAAGAAAGAAAACCAAGAAAAAGAATTCGATTATCTAGCAAACCAAACAAACAAACGAACCTTTTTATTTTCTTTTTTGTTTTTTGGGTTTTGTTTTTCCCTTTTCCAGCTAGGTTAAACGAATTTGTTTGGATATGAGATAATTTGAAAAAGTTTTGTTCAAAAAGCGTGTTTGGATTAAGTATTATTTAAATGATGGTTATGATAAGCGGACGAAGTTTTGATCTAATAATTAAGGTTGATTCCTTAGGAATTAGAGCCTGTGAATTCAAATCCCTCGTTACTCTCCCCTCTTCTTAATTCCCATCTCTCAGCCCGTCCGAATTGTTTGGATAGGGTATTATTTGGAATAATTACTGTAGTACTTTTTATGATGTGATGTATGTGAGATTTAAAGGTGAGTTGAGAAATGTGTTTATGTGATGCAAGCGAAATATTATTTGGAATAATTACTAAAATCCCGCAAATAATAGCCAATCCAAACAAATTATTGTTGCTAGAATCCCACAAAATGTGCTCCTAAATGATCCATAAGAGGGGTGTAATTTGTAGTAGTAAAAAAGTCAGTTACCAAGATTTTTGTGTGGATGGTAGACAGCAGAAGAATGCATAATATGTCTGCACCCACTCTGCTCTCTCAGTTTCGTTTCGTTTCGTTTCGTCCCGTCCTGTGACAGTGAGGGGGCAGATGCATACGCTTGGAAGCATGAACCCAAAACACATCCAATCTAACACTGCGTCTGCATCAGTAGTCCAGTTTTAGACATGGCAGTGCACGTGTGCAGTTACTGCATTATTGACACTACTGTTGTTTCCTTCCTTCCGCTTCTTCATCGTATATGAATTATTCTCTTCTTCTTGGTGCTGTAAAAATGTCCATTACAGAATAAGCCTCGGCAGCCGAAGCCTATTTCAATAATGACCATTATTCGTTTCCGTGTGTCATATATGGTTTGGTGATTTCCATCCATCATGTTTGACAAAGCGCCATATCATTCCACTCTTCCATCTGTTAATCACGATGTACTTCAGTAAATTACCTGCGTGAAATGAAATTTTCGAATAACCAACGACGAAATTAACTTACGTTTAAGATGATTTTTTTTTTTTTTTTGTTTTGGGTGATGTTTTGGCTATCTAGGTGAATGTTGATTTCATAGATTAGTTAACTGGATGGATATTCACGTCTTCAATTTACTTACAGCTCTAACATCAAAGTTCTTGAGAGAGAGATTTTGTCATTTTGCTTGGACAAAACAAATCAGCAAAAGTACATATGTTTTTCACAAACTTGGGATTCCGTGTGTCTGAGCTTAATAAACTATTGAAGGGAAGTGGTGGTGCTTAGAAGTACCGTGCAATTGCGGATAAAAGGACTACAAGACTTTGGTTGGCGTGGTCGTTTTGGCCCCTTTTGGTTTTGGGGTGGGGGGCCGGGGCGGGGTTGGTGTTTCACTGGGGACCCCCCCTGGCGAACGTCAACGGTGACAAACTGATTACCGGTGATTCAGAAAACGATTGATAAACCACAAATTAATTACTAATCAATAATAGAAGGATGAGTGGATGGTATGCAAGAAGATATAATGTAAATGAAAAATTTTGAAAAAAAAGGAAGAAGAAGAAGCTGACTTGCGCAATAGACAAAATTTTCATTAGTCACATTTAAAAGCCGAAATCTTGAGCCCTAAGTCCTAACTAACTATAGCTTAAAATAAAAGGCGCCGGCCCCCCCTGTGCCGGAGTTTCATTTTAAAGTCGGTCGAATCATATGAAGTAAAGCCATGTGATACTTAAGGTAGAATCAAATGTTACAATTAGTGTAGGCGAAACCCCAACCACTCAGCATACTTTCTGTGGAAAACATATATTAGTTAGCCCACTCGTTAAGTGATCAGTTCAGGAAATAAAAATAATCGAGACCGCCGGCCCATAACTTTCCTTTCCCAATGTATTTCTTATTCGTTTGATTTAAGGATGATAAAAGCCAGTACTGCTTTTTCTTGTTCTAAAGTTTACGTCATTCTTTTAACTAAATGATAGTATACAACAAGCTTTTGACTAAATGATATTCACAATTTAAGTATCTGAGCATTCACATCATATGATGCCTTTGAACGGGGCATTACCATTACGCGCTTACTGTATGCCCCATGCAATTGCATCTATTACTACAACTTTCCGTGGAGGTTATTCTTTTCTTAATACTATCACTTAGTACCCCTAACAAAGTATTAAGAAAATATTTCAAATTCCGCTGAGTACAGATTTAGGATTCTCCTTCTCGTGTCTATTGATTTCATCATATGCATTTTCAACCAAACACTAACGCGTTGCATCTACTTGCTTGCTTGCTTTTCTCTCCTTCATTTATTGGCTTTGGGAGAGCCCTTTTATAATAAGGGTGGGATTGGAGGGGGATGGGGGGTTGGGGTTTGTTGTTGGTCCGGTGCAAATTCTTGGTCTGTAGTCTAAATCAGACGTCTGTTGCCACGGAAGCCCAATAAATTTGGAAACTGGCCTCCTCTCCAATTTCCTTGGTTTTAAGACCCAACGACAGCAAGCTTCTGACAAATTTGGACTCCTCAATCCTTTATCTACGAAGCTGGGCCTGATCGTACATTTGAACTCCTCAATCCTTTACCTACTAAGCTAGGCCTGCTCGTATTTTAGTACCAGTCTCCAGAGCTTCTCATATACGTCTCATCCTTTCATCTGACGTCCCCCCATCCGCCTGAACGGTGCAGATTTTCCAGACATCCACGCAAATTTCCTTCTAGGCTAATGGGTAAGGCAATCCGTTCCAATACAAATCTATATTTGCTCACAGTGAACGACAACCAATTTAACCAATTTATCATGCCATTGACATAAAACATATACGATCCAGAATATTTAGTTCAAGAGAATTAACCAATTAATTAATAACATTGCCCGCAATTCATCAATTTCTTATGCGATACCGTATATTAAACAACAGCATATAGTAGAATTTGCTGATTCACATACCAATTCAAGTTCAATGACAAATTAGAACAGCCAAAATTGTTCAAAATACAAAGCAAATAACAACTTGGGATCCATTTATCTCTAATGGCAGCTTGCTTAACAAAATCCACTGGCAAGGAGGCAACGACCTTTTCCTTCAACGATACTGCAAGGACAAATGCAAGAAAATTCAGAATGATTTAGTAATTTATTCAAGAAACACAAAAATGGTAAAACAAGACCTATAACTCAGTATCATAGAGTGCCAACAACCAACTAACAAAATTCTTAAACTGGCATATACTCTATCTAGAACAACAGGCACAAGAAAATTTAAATACAAAATCAGGTCCTAACATGAATATGAATATTGACATGACAGAGAAAAAACCACCACCACATCATAGTAGCTCTATTAGTTTTAAAAAAAAAAAGGTAACAGTATGATCATTCCTTTCTTAAAACTTCAAATCCATTACCTTAATGAATCCAATCTCCTTAGCATTGCTGCGGAAGCATTGTCTGCAGCACATCAGGCCATACTTTCTGATAATACCATGGGAGTTTCCACACACACGGCTGTCAAAACAACCAGGAGGAGAAAATATCCATGTGGTCAGGTACAATTCTTAAAACGCCATAGCGAATAATACCATTATCACTACAAAATACTGCTTACAACAGCTTACTAAACTCCCAAATTTCACTTGAGCCATCAACGACAAAAGACTTGTTTAGCACGAAAATCACATTGACCCATCATAAGGACCAATCTGACTTGAAAACAGGATTATATACCATATGATCCAGTATAAAAGGCAGTACACCATAAACCTACAATTTCTTGAAATCCAATCAAGGACTCCAACATCACTGATACAAACATCAGATTATACTGGTTGACAAACCACAATATATGGGACTAAAAACGATCAAATGTACAAAAACTCCCACAAAAATCAGTCTAGTTTCATGGAATTAGATTTCATGCAGGATTTTGAGTATTTGAAATCCAGGTTAATCCAAACAAATTGTTTGGTAAAAAATTTTATTGTAGAGAAGGACTTGAAATACAAAATAACTAGTTGCTCACACAAATAAATAAACACTTCATAGGCATATTACGAAGAACACGAGTTACAGGACTCGGATCACAAGACCAGTTCCAAATCAGAGCAATAGTGCTGACTTCAACCTAGTCTTTAAGAGGAGAGACAAACAAATGGTTGCTACAAAAATGGTACAAATTCTATTAGTTGCCAAATCTTGAAGCTCAAACTGGTGTTCATAAACAATCATGCTGTCGTTCTAAGCTACAAATTTCGAGATATTTTTGGTGTAATACAAACTTGGGGGTGAAATTGGAAGGAGGGAAACGGGAAAGAACAGAGGGATCTGAAATATCGTACTAAATGAGTGAATTGGAAATGCGCTGTCCAAACGATACAGGATGGTTTGTACTGTGGATTTGAAATCCAAGTCAACCCAAATGCATAAATTATTATCGTTTCGAGCATATCCTAAATTCCTAATTCCCCAACTTTATATCAAGATTAACTCGTAGCATACAAAAGCATACTAATAGTTCTTTCGCTCCCTAATATCAGCTAGAAACAAATCACGGAAAAACAACAACCAAATACTTTCAAAAAGCAATAAAAGTTCTCCATCTCCAGTAATTCCCACTATATTTAGCACCAAACTGAACCAGACATGAAAGCTAAGAAGCAGGGCACGTAGCAGATCCTAAACATAAATAATTATCTTGGTTTGAAAAAAAAAATGAAATGGAGTGATAGAGATATCGTAGTAGTTACCAGGCGCGAGAGCCAGGGCCGTAGTTCTTAGGGTGAGAATTCCAGATGTTGGAGTGTCCCATCTCGATATCGTCTTCCTCTCTGTCAAGCTTTGAGCGGCTGCTAATTTCTGCGAAGGCCAACCCTAATTACTGAAGGCGGAGGAGGTTTAACAGGGTTGTAAGAGAGTATTTATAGTGTGGAATGGATGGCCCAAAACCCTAGTTCGGTCAGTGACAGGCAAGGGGCACGGTGGGGAACATACTTAAGTCATTTGACTATTTTGCCCCGTCGATTTAGTTTCACTTTTCTTTTTTGTTATCTTTTCTCAGTTGCTTTTACGAGCATACATCCGATAATATAATTTAATATTTAAATTTAATATATTTAAATCATAATACGTTCAAAGGCTGATAATAAAAAAATATAAGGTTGTGTTTGAATTGCATTTTCTATCATTTTTCATGTAAAAATTACTGTAGCGATTTGATATATGTAAGGAAAAAAGGTGATAGGGAAATGTAATCACGAAAAATGACAATATTTTCCGATGGAAACAAGCAATCCAAACATAGTATAAGTATCTGAATTAATTAAGTAACATTGTATTTATTAAACAAAATTTGTTATCAAAATTAAGTGATAAGTAAATAATTTATCGTTTAATATGATACACATTCAAATGTGTCAAATTTAGTACTTAATAATTTAATAATTTAATAAATTTAGACTTTAAATTTTAAATTTAAGTTTTCAAAATTCAGTTTTATCGAAATCACCCTTAATTTAAAAAAAAAATTATGATTGCACTGGGAAACTACAGTACTACCTTAATTTCTTACTGTGCACTTGGTAGCTGATATTTGGTGAGAAAACAAAAAAAGTGACGGAAAGTACCTGTTTGTGTGTGCGGGAGTTTTGGGGTTAGAAATCTATTTCCCAACTACATTGGGAAAAAAAAATTCCGCCCCAAACATAGGCAGCAGTATGTTTGGATTGCATTTTTTGGAGAGTTTTTGGAGAAAAATTACTTGAGCACTTTTTAAGGATATAATGTATGTGAAGGAAAAAAAATAATTAAAAAAGATGTAGAGAGAATATTCATGAAAACAAAAAAAAATATTCCAAACAAGTCCCGAAGAAGGCTTTGTAAAAATTTTCAAAATGTCACTTGTTTTTTTTTTTGTCAATCGTCAACCCTACTTCTACTCCTACTCTATTCTAATCTAACTATGGAAGACACCCAACTGGGCCTATGGGGATCGATGGAGACAGAACCACCACCGGATCAGATCGATGCACCACGCACCCGTTTGGAATTTTTTTTTTTAAGAACCACAATTTCAAAATGTCACTTGTTTAATTGTTATTTGAACATAGTTTTATTGATATACATATCCAAAATTCTTTTATTTCTTTTCTAAACTCCCAAACAACATTAAAATATACTCTCTTTCTTTTAAAAAAAAAATTTTCATAACTTAAGATAAGATTTCTCTATTTTTCTTTTCCATCATCTAGTCCCAAACTAGCTGTTGAGATATCTCATTCTCTTCTTTTTTTCATCCTGCGCTCCCAAATTACTTGTTAGTGATTTAAATTTAAAATTATTGCATCATTTAGTGACAAATTAAACTTAAAGAGTATGATAGAATCTCCCAAGCTTTTATAGAGCCAATTGTCTTCTTCTCATTTCACATGTTGGAAAGGTTTTATGGAGAAATTCTTTTGAAAAAAAAAAAAAAAAAAAAAAACAAATTGGGTCAGCAAAATTTTTAGACTTTTTTGTTTTTAAAAATAATTCATAAAGTACAATTTCATATAGAGCCAATTGGTGTTGCAGTCCCTAACAGCGGTGTTTGCTCACTTTGGCAACGCTGCCAGGCGAAGTAGACAACGAAGAACGCTAATACAAGCCCAAGCCCAAACCCGATTACAGAACTCCCAAGCCAGATTCTCCAGCAGCAAGCAGCAATCTGACCGTCAATTTCGTAGAACAAACAATCATCAATGAGCAGCAGCAAGGAGGCTGCATCGTCTTCTCACATCGTAGAAGAAGACGATGACGAACTTCTCCTATACGGGTCCGGATCCGGTTGGGTGGAGGCCCTGACCCACTGCGATCACCTTGATACCTTATCCTCCGACCTCACACATATTCCACCCCCAGATACTCCTTGCTACAGGTGCGTTTTCACCGAAACAACCACCACCATTTGTTTTTTCGTTTGTTTTTGATTAATTTTGTAAATACATAATTTATAAAATTTATTTAACAATGCTAAAAATCTGGTGTTATATCAATTATGAAGGTGCGAACACCCTCAAGAGAACTGGCTCTGCTTAAGCTGCGAAGATGTGCTCTGTAGCCGTTTTGTTAATAAACACATGCTTGAGCATTATCGTCAACAAAATAATCATTGTTTGGCACTTAGCTACAGGTATAATTTACTACCTCTTATTGGATAAAATGAAATTTCAAACGGCTGTCGTATAAATTGGATGGATGACCAGAAAATTTTTCTTTTTTTTGGGGGTAAACCAAAAAAAAAAAAATTTGGGAATTCGTACAGCGATCTATCAGTCTGGTGTTTCTCCTGCGACGCATATTTGGATGCTCAAGTAATCTTGCCGCTGCGACCAGTTTATGAAACTGCATACATTCTCAAATTTGGTGAAGCTCCGCCCTTCCGGGCGCTCGTGGATTTGCACCTAGCTGACCACAAGGCAGAGGGTTCGTCTTCTGGGGGGCAGTCTTAACCATTGCAGTTCAAGTTGCAGACCTTTTTTTTTTTGTTTGGGGTAGATTTTACTGAAAGCTTGTCGGTTCTACATCTGTTCCGTTTCAAAGAATTGTATAATTCCCTGGTTAAATGCATTTATATGAAATGGGAGCGGCTTCTCCGCTCTCGATTCTCCTCTATATGATAATTTGATACAGTTTAATATCGAAGTCAAGTATAACACTGGCGAGATTTCCCGGTTGATTGATGTCTTCATCGGATAAGAGATTGGTATCATCACTTCAAGAAGATGATTCATTCCCAAGGATTCTCGTCCCCTTGCAGATCGCAGGCTCGCTGCTCACAGTCAAGCTTACCCCACCGCGCATCTACTCGTTCACAGGGAAATACCAGCTTACCCAGGCTGTTGAAAGCAGAAAAGCACAAATCAACTCTTAACTACAAGGTTACAATTTCAGGCCATCTGAAATTTCGAGTAACAACAATCCTAGTTCCACTGATGCATAACATGTAAATGAGGTAATCCAAAGCATAATCACAAAAAGAATTAATCTTATATACACTGCTAGTGTATATACTATCATCATTAGATACATATCACATGTGTAAATTTTGAATTTGAAGTGTATGTATATACTGGTCTCGTATATAAAATTTACTTATCAGAAAAATGACCGTGTTAATTTTTGAAAAGACTGGGTAAATGAGGTGATCTAATTTGGGGAAGTTTCCAACCAACCTTCTTCACGCAAGCAAAGAAACATTTAGCATCTAACAAACGAGCCCCTGACAACCTTAGGGATAAAACTCAGGAGCGCCTAAACTGTAAACTAACAAGTACCTTCTGTTCACAACGTTGTGTACATGACATAACCATTGGGAGAACTCGTGCTGGTTTCCAGCCTGTACAGGATTTACTCTGCCAAAATCCAAGAGGAGAAAAGGTCAAGTACTTTCAGATGGTATCAGTGAAAGAAAGCTTGTAGATTCTACGAGTTGGGCAATGATAAATATAGGAAACCTTGTTGAGGGGTAATTACCAGAATGAATCCCCCGTAACTTATATAAGCTGAAAAACCGAAATCCTAAAACCCACACATGAAGTTGCTCCATATCTCTCTTATGAACTTAACATGAGAACTAAGCCTAATTGTCATACGGGTCATTTGATGGGTAAATAAACAAAAAAGTGAATGACCCGTAGTTCGAAGCACGCCTTTTGGTATTCAGAATTGGAAAATTAGCCAGGGATGTTAATCCACTAGCTCGATAGGAATAGCACGCAGTCACCAATAAGAGGACCCTTTATCCCTCTATGCATTCAGCTATAGAAGAGATTCCTCGATGTCCACGTCGGAAAGATGATTAAAAAAAATGGCCAATCTATTCCAGCGTAAGAAAGAAAAGGACCCAATAATAAGGGGGAAAGAAGCACTCCACCTCAAAACTTCTTTGAAGTGATCCGCACATTCCTTACAAGGGTACATACGGGACAATATTGCCATCTGCATTGCATGTGCATATCCATCAGATGCTATAAGCAAACCAATTATGTATGAAGTGTTAATGAACTATCACACAATCATTCTCTAAATGTTGCATAAGGTGCAATCACAGGAAACTCAGATTTACAACCACTAATTCAAGAGCAAAGACACAAATCAAGTGCTTGAGCAAATAAGATGGTGAAACATTTTTTAGGCTTTGATGCAGATAAATAAAACCATTAGGCCCTGGAAATCTCAAATTGACAGGGGGGACGAAAGCAAGTTCACTGTTAAGCTTCCAATGCACAACTCAGTTTAACAAGGACACTAACAGCAAAACCAGAAGGATGCCCCCCTTCTTACAAGAGCACCAACCATTTTGGTCTTCAGGGAACTAAAATCAGTACGTTACTCGTTAATATCTTGAAAAAATGTCATTAAAAGATCATTCAGTATTTCCCAAATGAGATTTACATAAGAATCTAATCCAATGCCATCAGAAGCCAATGTCTAACAAGTCAGTGATTTAAAAGAAGAAAGCTGTCCCCAAAATTCATTACAAAGCCCTTTTAATAGCTAGATTTTCATTCTCATGTTCAAGGACTAACAAACTTTTGCAATTGGTGAATGAAGCGAGAACTCCAATGTGATGAACAAGAAGTCATACAAGGTCAAAGAGTGTCATACCAGTTCTTTTACATCCTTCTTTTGTTGCCTAGTTGGCTTTTCTGGATACTGAAAAATGCAGAAGTCTCATTAGGAAAACAACTAGGTGAACACTGAAAACCATCCTACACATAAATCAACAACGATAACAAGAACAGGAATATAAAGACAGTGTAAATAAAGTTCATGGAATAACAACTGAATTGTGGACGCCTGCAAAACACATTCAAAATCAAGCAAAAAGTATTATCCACCCAGCAAATTACATAATAACAAAACACAATTCAAAGAGGGAAAATACATAGCAGCAATAAAGACCAAGCACTGGAAGAATCATACACGAGAGATGGTGCTAAACACAACTCCGAAAATGGGAACAAGAATAGGGACACACGAACTAAGATTATGAAGGACCTGAGCAGCAAGAGTGTGAAGAAGAGTCCAAGTGGCCCTCCCAAGCTCTTCTTTAGTCACAGGACCAGCTGCTTTATCCTGAGAAAGACAAACTACGTCAAACAACAAACTTGACATGACGGGAAATGCAAATTCGGGGCCAGATCAAAAGTAAATAGCCACAAGGGCATGTATGCATAGATTGGAACTTTATAGCAAGTAGGAACCAGTGTTATTCAATTTGCTGACGCTGGTTAAGTTTTTCCATCTTTTGCACGCATAGTTGAGAATATCCACTAATACTAGGTATTAGCAACGATAAAGGTACAAAATACCAGTGGAAACAAACAGTGTAAAAGAAAAAATGATGATCATCCATAAAAAGACTGGTTCAGGACTTTTAACAAACGTTTATAAAGCATCCGCTTCACCGTTATATCTGTCATGACAAGTCGAGATATCCCAGAGAAATTCAGTCCAGATAAATGTTACTGCGGATAAACAGCTGTAAATGGAGGACCTTTTCGGGTGGCTGTCCAGCCGGCCGGAGTAAAAGAGTGTTGGCAGGATTGAGGTATGATTGCTTTGGTTCTGAAATTCCAGGCAAAGATGAAGATAAAGAAAATAATGGGAAGGAATAGTGGTTTGTCCTGGTGGTTGGGTTGTTGTTATGGGGGAAGCTTATGAATTGGGAGAGATGAGTTTGAATGCAGTTGGAGACGTTTAAGAGCGCCCCGAAGAGAGATTGGAACGGGTTTTGGGACATTGTGTACTCCGGGGTTGGACAAATGAATGCCGCGAGAAAACTATCATAAACCATCATGATGAGTTTTAGGAATCCAGACCGTTCATAGACCGGAATAAATGACCGGATTAAGGTTGTTATCGGTTCAATCATTAGGTCTAACCGTATAACTGTGATGTGAAAAATAAGGAAGAGTAGTGCATTTCATTGTAGAACCTTCTTCCTTAATTTTGACACAAATGAAATGGCATTTGACATGGTTTAATTGCAGCAAAAACTTCAACAACTTCACAAAAAAAAAAGGCATTTTAAAGCCTTGTTTAGTGCAATTTTGTCGAGTCCACACTTTCACAGTAACCGATCCCATGTGTTTTACTTGTTCCTTAGTTAAATTATTCATTAGTTAAATTCTATTGAGAATATATTAAGGAAGGCTTTGCCATTCCTGCTTGTGATCAAATTTTGTCTTTTTTTTTTGAAGTTTTGTCTGTTCACTCCACACTTTAATAATGAGAAAGCCACATCAATCCTCTCTAATTTAATCCCTCAAAATCAAAATGATCGATTTTAATCCATAACATCTAGAAAATGCTCATTTTTTGTCCCTCATTACCTCTTTGGTCAAATTTTAGCTAGAGAGGTCATAAATCCATCATGTGGTCATTTTTTTATGGCAATTTTAACAACTCACATAATATTGACCCTATTTCTCACTTAATCCACGATTTTTCCCACTTGTTTTCTACACAAATTTAATTAAACTCAAATCTTATTCCACCACCTTTATTTTCTTCCTTTATCCCTCGTCTTCTCGCCACTACCACCATCCCCCTCCTCCTTTCTTTTCTTTCTTTCCCTCACTCTCCTTCTCTTTCATCCCACTCGTCTCTTCACCCTTTCTCCTTGTAGTCTCTAGGAGATCGGGTGGAAGGGCAAATGAGATGGGAGAAAATATGGAAAAAAGAAAAAGGTAGGGGAGGGAGAGAGCGAGAGAAAAAAAAGAAGAGGAATAAGGAAGAGATAATGGTAGAAAATGAGTAATAGCAACAATGCTACAAAGGAAAAGAGTGTTGGGAAAAACATGGAAAGGAAAGAGAAGGGAAGTAGAAAACATAGAAGGTGGTGGAGGTAAAAAAAAAAGACGGAGAAAGAATAAGAGAGACAAGATAGTAAATGTGTAAAAAATGAGGGAGGAGTTAATTGTTAGTCATTTTACATTTGGTGAAAAGTAATAAAATTTTTTTGGGAAAATCGTCCAAAACGTCCCTCACATTTTGTAAAATGACTTTTTTCGTCCCTCACTTTTAAAAGTGTAATTTTATGTCCCTTACATATTCATATCGGTTAAATTTAGTCCCTAATTAGGTTTCCGATCATTTTTTGGCCGGAATCCATCACGTGCAAGGCACGTGATCATTTTTAAGGGTAAATTTGTCAAATTATATTTTACATAATCTGATTTATAGTCCTCCACATTTTATAAAATAAATTTTTTCGTCCCTCACATTTTATAAAATAATTTTTTCATCCCTCACATTTCACAAAATGAATTTCTCCATCCCTCACATTTCAAGAAATGAATATTTCCATCTCTCACAAAATTCATTTTTTAAAATGTGAGAGATGGAGAAATTCAATTTGTGAAATGTGAGGAATGAAAAAAATCATTTTATAAAATGTGAAGGACAAAAAAATTTATTTTATAAAATGTGGAGGACTATAAATCAGATTATGTAAAATATAATTTGACAAATTTACCCTTAAAAAATGATCACGTGCCTTGCACATGATGGATTCCGGTCAAAAAATGATCGGAAACCTAATTAGGGACTAAATTTAACCGATATGAATATGTAAGGGACATAAAATTACACTTTTAAAAGTGAGG